TGCATCTGGATTTTTTAGAAGCATCTGATTTTGTCCAATTTTAGTAAAATATGTTCCAAATTTTGCTAAAAAAGCAAGGTTAACCCCTTTCCATTTTAGATTTTTCATACAAATCTGATTTTGCCAAATTTTACTAAATATACAAGGTACACCTCTTACAATTTAAAATGTTTCATACACATTTCTTTTTGCCCAATTTTGCTAGAAATACAGGGTTAAGCCCTAACAATCTGCAATTTTCCAGAATCATCTGATTGTGTCCTATTTTGCAAATAAAAAATGCAAGGTTAACCCCTTACAATTTAAATTTTTTTCATGAACATCTAATTTTCCCCAATCTTATTCAAAAAGCAAGGTTAACCCCTTACAATCTGCAATTTTCCAGAAACATTTGATTTTTTTCCCATTTTCGCTTTAAAAAAAGGCGAGGTTAACCCCTTTCAATTTGAAATTTTTCGTAACATCTAACTTTGCAAAATTTCACTAAAAAAGCAAGGTTAATAGGCCTTCTGTTTTTTTTTACCTGTTTTTTTTTTCTTCAAATGTCGGCTGATGACTGCAAATGGTGCCCGACTAAACTTAGTGCAAATATTATAGCAGGATTCCAGTAAAACCAGTGAGTTTGGCGGTTTTGAGACATCATCGTTCATTGAAAAAAAAACTTTTTCATTTTGCCGACGCGCATGTCTACGGCGACGCGCGCGCATACCAGAAACCGGAGACTTTTTTGGGGGGCCTTAATCCCTTACATCTGAAATTTTTCGGAAACATCTGATTTTGCCCAATTTCGCTAAAATATGCAATGTTCACCCCTTACAATTTGAAATGTTTCATAAACATCTAACCCCATACAATCTGCAATTTTCCAGAAACATCTGATTTTTCCCGATTTTGCTAAAAAAAAAATGCAAGGTTAACCCCTTATAAGCTTACAATTTGATTTTTTTTCATAAACATCTAATTTTGCCCAATTTTACATCAGCTTATGCTAACAAATTATCAGGTAACTGGATCATTAAACGGGACAGGTGCACATCGGCCTTGGAGCTCAGACCATGTGTCATGCATTCCTCAATGCATAGATGATGCACATAACACTATGGGTAGTACAGGCACAGCTGGGGGTACTGCCAAAACAATGATGAACGCATTGCGTATGCTTAAAGAATTACCCACAATTCCGGTTTTTACCGTTTAGGTCTGGCTCTAATCACTTTACGCGATCCCCTGACGTCTCATACACTGACTTTAGGCAAAATAGTCAGACTTTCGCGGTCTAGTAACCAGACTTGACTCTTAAAGAAACATCGAATGAAAAGGGAAATATCAAATGCATATTGCAAAAGATCGAATGCAAACATACCGATGAAACATCGAATACAAATAGCTCGAAATGTCAAACATATGTGTGAAACATTGCTCACATATTTGAGAATATTGCAAATATATTGTAAAACAACACACACAATTGTATCGAAAAACATCGCACATTTAATGCAAAAAATCGAACATAATATTGAAAACATCGCACATATATATCGTCAAAAACATCGCACATATAAATTGAAAATCGCATATAAATGTAAAACATCGCACACATATATTGAACATCGCACATATATTGTAAAACATCGCACAAATATATTAAACATCGCGCAAATAAAGAAAAACATCGCACACTTATATTGAACATCGCCGTAAATGTAAAAGATAACAAACACATATTGAACATCCAACATATATATTGCAAAATATTGAATATTGCAACGTTTGACACGCCATAGGACAGTGGATTATCCCAAGTGGACCCCAAAATAAACTTTATTTGTAATATTTATTCAGCATTTTGCGACTTTAGAGGCATTAGCTGCAGCCCGACTTCGTTCCTTTTTAATTTTCCGACTGACGAAAAAGAAATAAATTTGAAAGGAAAACTCAGTCCGAAACGGACCTACGTTTTGTTAATGGCCACGGTCGTGGCTACGGACGTCACTTGAGGAACTAATTATTAATGGTCCGCGCTAGAGCGTTCAACTAGCCTGGCCGTCGCGACTAACCCGTCTGCCGTTACCCTAGTCGATACGGGTGAGCACCCATAATTTTTAATCGAACGCACCCACTCTGTACTCTATAACTTAGGATCAGATTCAACACACAATATGAGAGCTTTAAGCTTTTGGCCTTTGCACTACAAAAGAGTGACGTAAATAATAAGATTTTGCCCCACAGTAAATCCTCAGTGGAAGGAGTACTAGGAAAACATTGAACTGAAATCGTGAAAATTGAACGAGATCATTTCTCAAAGCATGTCCAACGCGTGATCAAATTTTGTGATTAGAAACTAAAACAGGTTTAACTGCTTTAACTTTCACTTCTTTCACAAGGACATCCTTCTACAAAATACTAATTGACACTTCTAATCGATGTGTTTCAATCTGATCAAGGTCAACAGATTAATAAATAAAACAAAATTCTTGACTCTAAAAGAAGTCTTTGCTAAGGACGAAATATATCAGGCCACACTAATTGATTCATTTGTATATTTTCAGGTCAATCCAGTCAATTAGCAGTTTGCAGCAGTTTTTATTCACTTTCAAAATTCTTGACTGTTCAATTTCGTTCACAGGATGGATTCACGATGTGAGTGGAGATTATGTGGTCGTTTTCTTGGCAATTGGTGTGCTGTGTTTCACCATGGCTGCAATTATAGCGTCGACTCAACTTCTGATATGCTACTGTGGAAGTAGTGACGGATCAAAAAAAACAAATGTTGATGAAAAAAGACACCTTCAAAACTGAATAGAGTGGAATGCCGTATAATCATTCAGAGAAATATAAGGCCAAAAAAAAAAAGTCTCCGGTTTCTGGTATGGAGCTTGCCCCAAAAGTGGTGCGGCGACGCGGTTTTTTTTTTTTTTTTACCTGTTTTTTTTTTTTTTTTGGCTTCAAATGTCGGCTGATGACTGCAAATGGTGCCCGACTAAACTTAGTGCAAATATATGGGAGTCCAGAGAGGCCACATAAATCTTATTCTCGATCATAACCCCATCTAAAAACACGTTAAAATTGTGCAGCAGCAGAATTCCAGTCAAACCAGAGAGTTTGGCGGTTTTGAAACATCATCTAGTATTGAAAAAAAAAAAATTTCATTTTGCCGACGCGCATGGCTACGGCGACGCGCGCGCATACCAGAAACCGGAGACTTTTTTTTTTGGCCTAATGCCGTTATTTAAAGTTATCTACCCGTTCTCTTCAAAATGCATGTAGTTATTTTTTTAAAGTCATGTCAAAACGACCTGAAATTGGGACGATTGTACAAACGTTTCAGTACATATTAATCACAATTATAATTGTGTTTATTACAATGTACTAATAAGTCAGTACATTAAAACATGTACATTAAACTACTCGTTTTACAAATCAAGTATTCATTATGGGCGTACGAGGGGGAGGAAAAGTACCCCAAAAAATGAGAACGAAAATGAAAAGAAAAAAGAAGACGAGGGCGAATCGTATTACTGCTAATTTAATGTACGGATGTCGTTTGATGTCTAGCAACCCTCTCAATGTTTCCACGGCCGGTGATTTCTAACTTCAAAATGGCTTCTGGTGAGTGTTTTGCCCCTCTACAAAAAAAAATCCTGGCGGCAGCCATGCAAGTATATTGCAAAAGTCGTTAGGTCAGATCTCCACAGATTTCTCATCAAACTTCTTCTCTTCTTCTCTTCTTCCAGTTGAGCGCTAACTTCACAATTGAAGACTACAGCACTTTAGTCTTCCTATTTTGGGGTTTCGAGCAGCGCTCTATGAGATCAGTCTCGAGAATTTTTACCCATTAATTAGCAAATTTGTGTAGACTTATACTGTAGTACTTTTACTGTGTAATCAGTAGCTTCTAATTAGATTTTTATTTTGCGATCGTCAAGCGTTAACCAAATAAATGCCATCTATTCGATAATAAATCTCAAAATCCTGTGTTATAACGATGTTTAACATCTTACCGTTTGTGTCAATGTCACATTAATTTAATTAGTTATATCCCAGAAATGAATACATTCAAAAGGTAATTGTACAGTTATACGTGTATAAATCATGTTTAAAATAATTGTAATTCCATTAAAATATTCACAGTACAATACTACGTACATTATGTAACAGTTGTCTTGTAAATAATCGAAGGAACTCGTTTTGACATTTTTTTGTGTGCATTTTATCTGCATCCTTTTTCTATCATCTCAGTAAATGCATAATAAATGTACAAAAGTCTTTTTTTCATGTGATTACGAGTAATATGAGGTCATTTTCACTAGCAAGCCTGAACAAACGTCACTCGAGTACCATGAGTGTGAGCACTACGTACGGCATTCCTTCAAATGCCTTCAAGTGAAATGATACGACAAAACTTGTTCGATATACCAAACTTGCCGGTGGAAAACTCATGAATTACTTAATTGTTAACCAAAATAATTTCGTCACCACCGTACCTCGGAATGAATCCATTTTGTGAATGGGCCCATGAAGTGAAAATTTCTTAAACTTAAAGGAACATGTTTTGTGCTACTATAGTAGTATACTATAGTGTCAAACCTCCCCACCCCCACCCCCCCCCCCCCCCAAAAAAAAATCAAAAGAAGGTACGGAGAGGTGCCAATTAAGGAACGAGTTGTCGGCCTGGCCCAAGTAACAATTCAACTCATTTTTTTTCTTTTTTTTTAATTACCAATTTTTATAATTTCGGAAACTTAAAACAGATTTACGGTAATTAATTAGTGTACAAGTAAAAACATTTCCACCATTTTATTCATGTGCCACAGGTACACGTCGTGCTGTCCATCCAGCATACTTGTTTGATTTTTATTACCACAATTGTTTGTTTATAAACAAAACAACCGAATTGCCAACCCGTCCCACAAAGATAATGCCAGATTTTAACACTGCCGATGGAGGGCGCTATGTCACTCTCCCTTAAAAAAAAACGTGGTCTGGGTCCACTCCTTATGAGCATGTTTAAATATATTGACACCGTGAGATCGCCAGACTACTAGCACATAGTTCATCGGTTACGTGTGTTGGCATGGAACTTGGACGGGAAACTGGGGTTGATTCGACGCTTCGAGGACTACTTTCAACTACTTCTTTTGGTAAGACATAGCTCATGACTTATAGAAATACTGCAGGAGAATTGTAAAATGCAAAACATTGCATTAACAGGTTTTGTTAGGTCGTTAAGATACCGTGACGTTGCCTCGTAATCCGTATAGGCCTATGATTATATCCGTAAATAAGTTCACGCGCAGGACTTGGCGGACTTGGCGAATGACGTGTAACGCGTGCGCGTGTGAGACTTAATGGCTTGTGGAGTTTAGGACACTTCAGTCATTTGGGAAATAATCTTGCACCCTGACGTCACTTTTTTTTCTCATCTTAATTTGCATTATCTAAATGAAGGTCAGTCATAGCAAAAATGTTGAAAAGACATGAATTGGGGAAGTGAGAAACATTTCCAATTTTACCATACTCCGACCATGGTTACGTTTAGCCCGACTGCGTCTGGCCGTACAGTACTATCGCAAGCTCTGTAGTACGGCCAGACGCCCGATGCTTCCACAGAGACTGAATTTTGTTGGCCGCCGATGTAGCGATTTTGCTACATCTTTCGATCGCGATTATCTTTTCATCCAGGACACAAATTTCCAAAGTTAAGGTTCGTAGTCGTAGAGCAACTCATACCTTTTCGAAAAAACGTTGTTTGGTCTCAATATTTTCATCCATCTGGCCACAAGACGAATTTCAGTCATCAGATTCCACAAATATCGTCCCCCATGCGATCCCCCATGCGATTTCAAAATGGCGGCCGTGCTGTAATGTATGCAATATGCAGGCACGCCCGCACAAACTCATGAATATGCATAAACAGTCTGTGACGTATGACCTCGTGTTTTTGGACGTACGGCCCCGCCGCACGCACGTCCAAAAACACGAGGTCATACGTCACAGACTGTTTATGCATATTCATGAGTTTGCGCGGGCGTGCCTGCATATTGCAACATTACAGCACGGCCGCCATTTTGAAATCGCATGGGGGATCGCATGGGGGACGATATTTGTGGAATCTGATGACTGAAATTCGTCTTGTGGCCAGATGGATGAAAATATTGAGACCAAACAACGTTTTTTCGAAAAGGTATGAGTTGCTCTACCACTACGAACCTTAACTTTGGAAATGTGTGTCCTGGATGAAAAGATAATCGCGATCGAAAGATGTAGCAAAATCGCTACATCGGCGGCCAACAAAATTCAGTCTCTGTGGAAGCATCGGGCGTCTGGCCGTACTACAGAGCTTGCGATAGTACTGTACGGCCAGACGCAGTCGGGCTAGGTTACGTTAGGCCTAGTACGGAGTCTGGCAAATTAATTTTTGTAACGAAAAAAGTGTCATATTTTGTACCAATGAAAAGAGAATTACTCTAAAAATATCCAATGGTGTTTGAAGCTTCATACATGTAGTTGTTTGCATTTTGGAGATACAGCAATTTAAATTGCCGAATTTGGAGTTTCAATTCTGTAATATTTAAATTATAATTTTAGCATCTTTTATTAATCTTATTTTCCAGATCTATCAAAACATTTGTTATCAAAGGAATTCCCATTAAATAAGTTGATTTTTGAATCAGGTTTTTAGTTTTTTACCACTCATAACAAAAAGTTACGATATTTTTCCATGGACCTTCGCACTGTCCATGCGCGCGCCGAGCAAACACCGCGATGCGACCAGTACTGCAGTAGGTACGGGCAAAGTACTTTCCTATCCTGCTCCACACAACGCAGCACATAGAATATGTGTCCACACATTATCATTGTTATAAATACCGCGTGCCAGACTAGTCCGAGTAACTTGGACCCAACTTACATGTATCGCCTTTTTTAACATTTGGACATGGTCTGGCGATAGTGGGGTCCAAGCTAATACCGCGACCTGGACAACATCATCCTGTCACTGTCCCAAAAACCAACATTTTCCAACAAAAAACATCAGATTTCACCTTCAAAACGGCCTCCAAATTACTAGATATGCCACCTGAGGTACAAGTAGACATCGATAATTAAGATGGTTGTATTGAAGTTTACTTACGATCCGGAAAAAAAGTGAAATTTTCCGTTCATATCGGAGAGCTCCCCTCGCGATCTTGAACACGTTAAATTTCCGATCGTGTTTAATGTTTGAACGACGCGATTTCTTCTACATGCCCAGCGTACATTCGATGGTCCCCGTATCCCGAGTGCGATTCCGTTACCGAGCGCGCGCGATGCATCGATTATAGCTTGGACCCCACTATCGCCAGACCATGTCCAAATGTTAAAAAAGGCGATAAGTTGGGTCCAAGTTACTCGGACTAGTGCCAGACAAAGTCTGGCAATGGCCCATCCCGCTCCACACAACACAGCAACACGAAACATGCGTGCACGCTCACGTGGTAATGTTTGGCACAATCTGTCGATATGGAAAGCGCGAGTTGAGAATTTGTTTTTTCCATCAAAATGAAAGCAAAGTTCTGAATTAATGTTTTTGATAAGGCCAAAAAAAATTTCTGCTTCCGGTTTCCCTACCTACCCTATTGCCATTCTGACAGCCAATACCCAAGTTTTTTATGGGAAAAATAAGAAAAAAACCACCCAAAACAGGCGCGGATCCAGGATTTCTTTAGACGGGGGGCACATCTTAGAGCATTTGTTCTGAGGACTAATGCGAGAGCGGAGCGCGAAGCCCTTACGGCGTGGGGTCCGGGGCCCGCTTAGATGCTCTGTGATGCAATCTGAGGCGATTCCTGGCCCCTTTCCCCCTGAATTATTTGTGCAAAAGTTGATAAACTTGTAAGGATTTTTTTACAATATACTCTTGTTTTTACAAATTTAAAGGTACTGTGTACTTCAAAGTTGCAAACCATGTATTTTTGTCTTCATAATTTGTTGCATTGTATTTAAAAAAAAGAAGAAGAGGAATTGTATTGACTTAGATTGTAAACTGTTGCAACGGGCGATGCGCTGAGGCATTTGCTCCAAGGACTAATGCGAACGTGAAGCAGTGTCTTACGGCGTGGGGTTCGGGGCCCACTGAAGGGCCCCGGGAAATTTTTGATTCTATAGATGTTCTCTGGTGCAAACTGAGGCGATTCCTGGCCCCATTTCATCAAAATGTTGTGAAGATTATTAGGATTTTTTTTTCATTATCGCTTTGGTTTGCGGTAACACCATGTGTTTTTTTTTGTTCATTGGTTTGAAATTGTACTCTTGTATTTCTTAATACAAGCCTAGTTAAGTTTCTTCTGTTCTTCACTTGATAACCAAGTATTTTCGACTGCATAATCAATTTCTTGCATTTAATTTTTGTAAAGGAATTGGATAGTCTTAGATTGTAAACTGTTTTAAGGATGCGTCGGGAGATCTGCCCCGAGGACTAATAATGCAGAGCGCAATGTCTGTCGGCGTGGGGTCCGGGGCCCGCTTAAGGGCCCCGGGATTTTTTTTGATAATTAGATGCTCTGTGGTGCAATCTGAGGCGATATCTGGCCCCTCTTTCCCTGAGTTATTTGAGCAAAATGTTTTAAGTTAAATAAGGATTTTTTTCATTGGTTTAATATACATGTATACTCTTGCTTTAACAAGCCTTTTAAGTTTCTTCTGTTTTTCACTTGATAACCATTTTCGTTTGCATAATTGTTTTCGTGCATTTTTGAAACGGAATTGTATAGACTTAGTTTGTAAACTTTTGCAAGGATGCTTTCTAATGTTTTGTATGTCAAGTATAAATTTTCAGTTAATCAATAAGATAAGATTTTCTACGGACATTTTTTACTGAAACGGACATGTTTTGGACTCCTTGGAAGTGCGTGGAAGAAATGCTGGCAAATTGTTATACGAAAACACACCCCTTGACCAATAGTGTGGTCCAAAGAGCAGCGTTCAACCACGGATCTGATCCGTGGTTCAACGTGTATGTCGCGCTCATCGCGCTAAACACAGCACATCGGCCGTCACACGTGCGTGTTTTTCGTACCGGTGCGTACGCTCATATGAATCGCATTTCATAATCCATAGGCCTACCATGCCGGGTTATGTATGGATACGTACGGTGGGATCGCGGTTTACTTCGAAGCTTCTCGAGTTCCCTGTGTCATACGGCCACTACACAATGTTTGCAGGCCGCTGATGTTTAATATCGGCGCCGGCATTTTTGTTAGAAGGTTGCCCTCCTCCTTCCCTCCATTTCTCTCACCTCCACCTCTTTTTCCCTCCTGTTTTCTTTATTTTTTTTTTTGTGGACTCAATTTGACGGGGGGCACGTGCCCCCGCGGCCCACCCCTGGATCCGCGCCTGCAAAACTATCAATTTCTACCTTTTACCCTTGACTTCACGCAGACGCCTCCATAAGATGCGATCATACACAAAATAAGAATTGACCCTCTGATGGCTCCGAAATGACATTTAAATTTTGAACAGACAGTGTTCTGGGGAGAAAATAAGACTTTCTTACCTGATGTTCCATCTTTTTTTTGGAAAAAAATTTGCAACCTCGCACCAATTTTTTCTTCATTATATTATCTCAATGAAGGTCAGTCACTGTAAAAATGATGATAAGACATGAATCTGGGAAGAATCTTGAAGAATACATGTGTTAGGCCAAAAAAAAAAATATGTCGGTCCCTGGTCAGCGCGCGCGTCAATTTTAATCATGCGCGTCGATCTTTTTTTTTTCCAAAATGTTCCGCGGTAGCTCCAACAGCGCCCTCTTTTTCCGCACCTCAATTTTTTTTTATCAAAGAGCACCAAGGAATGGGAAATTGCACCAAGTCAAATGATCGAAATCACCAAGGCAAATTATGGAGGACACCAATGTACATGAGGACACCAAAAAAGCAAAATAGTACCCACCTTGTCTGTACAATCCAAGCTTGAAGAAAAAAAAAAAGAAGAAGAAAAAAAAAAAAAGCCGCGTGGCCGCGTCAATTCCGGAACTTTGGTCTGTTCATATATTTTCTGATTTACAGTGTACATTTGTATTTACAAGGTACATACCGGTACATTAACATGCACCGGTACCCGTATACATATACATGTACATGTGTAAAAGTACATACATGTT